AGAACACCTGCCTCACCCCAGGCCAGATACAAAGTGCCCCAAGTTAACATTGTCCTGAAGTAAGCATGAGTGTTCTAAGCACTGGAGACTTTGGCCTTGGAAAGGAAAAGCATTTCCTTCTCATTGGGCCTTTATTGAGTGTGTGTGTGTGTGTGTGTGTGTGTGTGTGTGTGTGTGTACACAAAAAAGCCTAATAAAATATACATATATATGAGTCTATATTTGTATGTGTGCATGTAGATATGTATAAATATGTATGTGTATATATGTATACATATACACACACACACATATTTTTTTCCCTGATGAATGATATCCTACCTATTAACTGAAGCTGAACAAGGCTAGATGCTGGAGGATGACAGGATAATATAAAAGAGATTTCAGAGAGGAGAGGAGAGTTTAGAGTAGGCACAGAGAACTAGCTTTTATTTTAAGACCTTCATGGAGCCCAAGAACAAGCCAAGCTTGTTCAGGGTTGGAAGCCAAATTCACTTCACATAACAACAAATATTTCAAATTGCAGCCATGCAGAAATAGAGATGAAATAAATAGGAATGAAAAGAAGACTTGTGGACTTCTAATTCAAGGTTTTTGTTTTGTTTTGTTTCCCCTTTGAAGGATTTTTGTTTGGTTCATTCTTTGTGTTTTAGATTTTGGAGGCAGTCATTTTTTTTTCATGACTTTACCTTAATCATAAACTTATAAAACTCCATCATCTTTAACCCTGTGTCCATTGTGCCCCAGGGTGCAGAGCCCTGATTGACAGAAGATTGAGCGAGGTAGGCCATACACACAGAAATAGGTAGGGAGCCAGGGGACAAAGAGCAGCAAATGTCATTTTGTGATTATGGCCACAAAGTCTGACAATAGCCACCTTATGTGATCCATGGAGAAAGAGCTCTGAAATGGATCTAAGACTCAACTGAGTCCTCAATCTATCACAGTTAAGGAGAACGAAAACCTGAAGTCTTCATTTGGGAGGAAAATCGGGCCTTGAAAATGCTCTCCTCTCATACACTGTGCATTGCCTCCCTTTTAAAATCTCTTCCCTTTCCTTCTTTCTGTGCAGATGGAACAAGCAGAAGAGCTCGCTCAGGTCTTCTCCCACAGAGGAGAGCCCCTCACCCTGGGAAGACCTAAGACATTCAGGAGAGGACTCCAAGTCAAGAGGTAAATGTAACCTTTTGATCTTTCGCCAGCCTGTGACTAGGAAATGAGGTTGCACTTGTTTCTTATTCCCAAATCACTATGATATAAGTTCCCATTCTCCCAATTCCTGGAATCCAGACCTAGGTCTGCTTAATGGTTTCCAGGAATGCTCATTAATTTCCTCCCTAGCAAAAGTCCCCCATTTCTCCACTGGAGCCTCCTCGTCATCTTGACGTGCTGCTGCCTTTCTGACCACACCTAACATTATAAACTCCTCTGTGAACTCAGCTGTCTTCACAGGAACTCACGGCCAGTTGTCCATTCCCCCCAGGGAGTAGTGCTGAACCTTTTTTTAGTCCTTCTGAAACATGAACCAGACTCCCCAGTCCCCAGAAGTCACCAGCTAACCACTCTAATAGCCTCATTTTAACTTAATCTTTAAAGATCCTATCTGCAGTTGCTTCCACCTGATTCCTCAAACTTCCTACACTAGGTCTGGGAGACCTGAGGATTTGAGTCTTTGAAATTCTTGTCCTTCAATGACATTGGAGATATCATAGATCTAATTTGAGCATGTGGGCTCAAAGCTTATCACAAGACAGGTCTGGGTCCTTCCATCTCCCCTTCACTAGGTGCACTAGAGTAGCATAGCACTGTGGCTGGTCATAGCTTTTGTCAACAGCTTCTGCTCACAGGCGAGTGAATCACTTTAGCCCCTGACCTTAGGCAGTGAGCCTGGCTCTGCTCCATCTGGAAAAATTACAAGGGGCATTTTTATTTCCAGTTACCCTTTCTAATGTCAGATTCACAGCCATTGTCTTTGCCTACTACCTGAAACCCAGCAGACACATGGCTTTAGCCACTTGAAAATGTTATCTTGACTATGTACCTTCAGTTTGCTCTTGCTCTATTTATGTAGCATTTTATATGTTTGCAGCATATAGGGAGTGGTATTTTAGTTTCAGTAGGCATGCCACAAAAAACTATCACAGACTTGGCAGAAGAAATCTGTTTTCTGAAAATTCTGGAAGCTAGAAGTCCAGGATCAAGATGTCAACAGGAGTGGTTTCTTCTCAGCCCTCTTTCTTGGCCTGCAGATGGGCATCTTCTCCCTTTGTCTTTCACATGGTCTACCCTCCACACTGTCAGTGTCTTCTAAGGATGAGGAATCACTCCAATAGCTTCATTTTAACTTAATCTTTAAAGATCCTATCTTCAGTCACGGTCCCCATTTCAGTCATGCTCTGAGGTACTAGGGGCTAGGACTTCAACATTGAATTTTAAAGGGACACAGTTCAGCCTATAGCAAGGGTTTGGGAGAAGGATTAAATTGTGAAATGAGAATACCTTTTCTACCATCCTTCCTGGAAGAAGGTGTTAGACTATGTCCCAGCTCTGGAGTCCTCTCAGGGAGATAGCATCCCTCTCCCGCATAGCCCAGCTACCCTCCGGTAGCAGCCACACATGTCCTTGGAGATGCACAGTTACTTGGGTGGTACCAGCATAGTGCCTTGTTAGAAAAGCATAGCTGACAGTCTCCCTGCTTGTTGTTCAGGATTCATTGCAACTTTTGACCTTGAGGGGCTACAGGGTTTGGACTGAGATGGCTACAGACACTGTGCTCACCCGATACTCAAAACCAAGCACCTTGACTGGGTGCTGCCACTACCAACATGCCATGGAATGAGACATACTGTGATAGCTCCTGGGTCTCAGTCTTGTTGCTTTTCAAAAAAATATATTCTAAAGTGACTCGGAATCTGATCTCTGCATCTTTGAATCTAAGCCGAGGCTTCTATTTCTAAGTAATCTGTAAATATTCTGGAGCAAGCATTTCTTGTGGTAGACTGACCTTGTCTGAAGTATTCTGCCTGAGTAATAGGAATAGCATTTACATTAGCAACTACTGTTTTCATTTCTGCATGACATGAGGATGTCAGAGTTGCACAGCAGATCAGCACTTGAGATATTAATCTGGTTGTCCTTGTGCACGTCCCTCATCTTCTTTTCTTCCAGACTCTCAGAAGACTGTATTCCTCCTCCCCAAACACACCAAAAAAATTTTTTAAAAATGAAATATAAAAAAATCAAAGAAACTGCTGACCTACATGCAAAGTGAAGCCAATCTTCCTGTCCCAGAAATTAGATAAAACTGGAGAAGAGTGGAGGTGAGACAGAGTGCTGACATGAAAGAGAGACAAGCAGACAGGAGGGGAGAGGCCTCCTGAAAGTCAAGAGGAAAGGGAGAGACTTCAAAGCAGGAAACCAAGTAGAGTAGAAGCTGTCCTCCCATGAACCCCACTGTGATCAACTCAGGGTCTGCGGACCAGCCACTGTTCAGGGGTCTGTGACACATGCGTGACCCCTGAAGATAACAGGAAAGGCCTTTTATAGTGAAAAACACCTGTATAGGGATGGGGAGTGAGGGAAAAATTACACCCCAACAGAAAGGAAAAGAATGGAATCAATTGATAGTTCTCAATAGGCAGGGTGTTATTTAAATCACCACCACCTCACACTTGGATTCCTCATGAGAAACTATTGGATTCGTCTTTAATACAAAGGCAATGCATTCCCAGTCCTATATCTTATTTTACTCTACTCACAGTTTAACACTTTAGCCGTTACTGTTTCCTCAGAGCTGGAAAAAGACATAAGACGACTAAGACAGAGACAAAAGCCTATTACCAACATCACAACAAGCAGCATGATTGTTAATTCTTCTATATCCCAAAGCACATGGGGGTGACACTGAAGGCAGCGAGTTGTACTGTAGAAAGGAGTGTTGTTAGGGGCTAAGCTTTCCCCTCCCAAATTCATATGCTGAAGTCCTAATAATCCCCAGTACCTCAGAATTTGATTGTATTTGGAGAGAGGGTATTTAAAAGGTGTGAAATTGAAATGAGAACAATAGGGTGAGCATTGATCCAGTCTGACTGATGTCCTTATAAGAAGAGGACATTTGGACACAGACAGGTATGAAGGAAGACTAGGTAAAGACACAGGAAGAAGATGGCCATCTACAAGCCAAGGAGGAGGCCTCAGAAGAAACCAGTCCTGCTGACATCTAGCTCTTGGACTTCTAGTCTCTAGGTCTTTTCTGGTTTTTATGCTTTTGGGTGCCTTTTGTGTCAGCTCTAACAAACTAATACCAACACCAAATTTGGGGAATCTATTCCCTTTCCTTTTTGTTCTTTCTCCAAAAAGGTAGCATTACCACACCTCTGAAGGCTGCTCTCTGCAAACACAATGAAAAAAAAAATGACCCAGAGAGAGTATAATCAGGGCTTTCTCTTCTTGGCGTATCCAGTTAAGTAGCAGTGTAGAGGCCCATAAAGGGCTGGCTCTCCTACAAGGTACTCAGCTTGTACATCCCATCTGAGAAAACTCCAACAATAAATTGTTGAAATGAAAGATTCAATCAGACAAATTCTTCAATAGCCTGTGGAAATTAATGGTGAAATTTAAATTTCTCAATTTGAAACGAGGGGCCCAGGTGAATAGTAGTATGCCTTCAGGCACCAACAGCCTTGGTCCAGGAGCAAAGTGGTCAGGAGACACTCTTGGCAATACCATAATTCATTATGTGTCTCTGTCTGACAAACCATCAAAAAATAAGCAGGCTGTGACCATGCATGTCCTGGAGCTTGAGTCTTAGCGCATGAGTCAAGACCACCTCTTGCTGCCTCCTGCACTTCCCTAGGACCAGTTCTCAGTCACCCATTGTCCTTCAACCCATATTGATGGTTATTACCCTCTCTCCTGTGAGGTTCTGAGGCAGGGCAGAAAGTGTTAGAGACAGGCACATGCACCCTATATGTTGATTGATGGAACAAGGCCCAAGGTACCTGTGAGAATTCTTTGAGGATCCACCTTTACCCCATGAAGGTCCCATGCATTCCAGAGTGGCATTAAATGGCAAATAGTAAACACCATGAGAGGCCAAAAGTGAGATCACAGAAGAAAGAGCAGTTCTTCTTTCTGAAAAAAAAGGGGTTCACATTTTCATTTTGTGTGGCCTCACAAATGATGTTAATACCCCGCCTGTATGTTTCATGAGTCAGGGTGTACAATTTTGAGCATAGAAGTGATGCAGTAGCCACTGCTTTTTGCCTTCAAAAATAAAATTTGCTGACCTGACACATTGGAATAGGGCAGCCAGGGTCACAGATGCTCCACCTTCCCCTAGATGCTTCATCTTCGCCTGGGTTATCAAATAGTTTGTCTGGTTTCTGGGTGAGCTATGTGTTTAGCTCCACAGAGAGGGGCATCAGATTTTCACATGTCACACACACACACACACACACACACACACACACACACACACACACACATACCATGTTGGGAGACAGCAAGGTTTATGTGTGTTCTAGTATGTACTTAAAGCTTATTCTTGCCATCTCTGCTTTACATTCACCCTGTCTTCTAGACTGTCTACTGGCTGGATTTCATGCTCCAGCTTCAAATACAAAGAATACATCTTAACCACTTCTGCAATTGTGTCAAGTTTAATGCCTCGGACAACAAATTTCATATTTTATATCTTCTCATTGGTTCTACCTCTCTAATTGAACTGTGACTAATACTTATGACCAATTTTTTGAGTGGCTAAATGATTATTACTTGGTTGAGGAAATAGGGCTATGTATATAAAAATAAAACATAAATTTACATGATGTGGTGAAATAATATATTTGCACAATCCTTTGCAGTTTTCTTGCTTTGCCTTATTTGGTAATCACCACAAATCCCATGAGGTAGATTGCAACAGCTATAAGAATTTTCATTTTGCAGATGAAAGTAAGATGTCTCAGCCAAGGTCACATAATTAGAAAGTGGCAGAGTTGGAACTGTTCTTCTAGTATCTTTCCCAGTGTACTCCCACTGACCTAGAGAGCTCCCAAATATGAAATGGTAGGATAGAATATGAATCTCAACTCTGTAGTGAAATAAAAGGCATTTTTACCAGTAGAAAAGGTCTCTGCTTCTCAGTTATGTAATTATATTTTTGCCGTCTGAATGTTAAGTCTGCAGACCATAAATTATTCAGCTGATATCCACCTCGACTTCATATACCCTCACTCTAAAACACAAAGAACTGTAAACTCTTGCTTAGTACTCAACAGTTACAATATCATAAAATGAAAAGGACACCCCAGATACTGCAGTGTCTCCACGACTCAGGTTTCTTACAGGTATATTTTAATGCTCATCAACACAAGTTTTGTAGGTAACAGACATGTAAGCAGTTTTCATCATTACAATTCATTTGTCTGGTACATGGAAGTGAGGCTTAGCAGTTGTTTCACAGTTGTGAAAAAAAATCAGCTCCATTTAAAACAAATCATCTAAATTCCACAATAGATTATAAAAGTAAGTGAGACTTTGCTCTTCTATTTCTACTAACCACAGGAATGAGAAATAAAACACTCTATTAAATTCTTTGAGCTATATCCATATAAAGTCATGAGTATACTAGCACTGTGAAAAATTCAGAGAAAACACAAACTTGCATCATTTGTCAACAATGGTAAAAATCAGCCCAAATAAGGCTTTAGGTTATTGTAGTCTTTTGTTATAGGAGAAAGCAATAGTTAAAATCAAAAAGGAAATCATCAAAGTTCCTTCCAATGAATTCTTGCTCCTCTAAACAGGTCTTATGAACACATAAATCACAACCGTGTTCTCCAGGACCATCAGAGAGCATGTCCTGTGGAGAACCAAGCTCACTGTTTCTTGCCTCCTGTGATCCATGCATTTATGCCAAATGCTCCCAAGATTCTTGGAGACAGAAGTCACCCAGGGCACTCAGAAACCAACTGGTCTGCTCCTCTTAATTCCCTTGTTCATGCTCACACGCCTGCCTCCTTAAAGATAAGGTTAACTTCATTCTGAAACACAGCATGCTCAGAGAAGCCCTCATTTATTGATCAGAACAAACATTTGTGGAGAGTTTATTTTACCATAGACATTGTGCTTGGCCTGGGGACACAATGATGAAAAGGACAGATGTGTCTTCTCCCATGGAGTTTGTGGTCTAGGGTAGAAAAGAGATGCTAACCACCAATTGATAAACAAACATGTCATTGCCAAATGAGGTAGGCACTGGAAAAGATAGGATTATGCTGCTAGGAGACATATGACAGAGGAGCCTAGCCTCATAAGGAGGCCCAGAGAAAGCATCCTTCAGAAAGTACCATTTTTGCATATCCCAAAAGGGTGCGATGGGCTCAGTACACACAGGAGGGATCACAGGTCTGCATGCAGCATCCCAGGGAGCCCTGATCCTAGCCAAACAAGTTAACCAGTGGGTTCTGGTGAAAGAGAATAGGCCTGGGCGCAGCAGGCTGAGGGCCTGAAAGAGAAGTGGGGAAGGAAGGTAAAAATGGAAAAAGAAAAGAAGTTGAAAGGGTAAGTTTCATCTATAGCAGTGCTGTACCTCAGGAAAGTCCCTTCTCATAAATAAATTATGGAGGAAGGGATATTAAACTCTGTCCTCGGTTAAGGAACAACCAAGCTCCCCAGGGTCCTAAACAACATTGCAGTGTTCTTCTTTCCTGAAGCCCATGCACCCTTTGGCAGCCTCCTGTTCCACAGCCTGCCCTTCTCGCCTCATTGCCTTCACGCATGTCAAATCTCCTTTAACCACGTATCAGGAGGAACAATGTCATCATCTGATTTAAGTAATGAACTCTGAGGTGCAAATGGCTAATAGATATGCTCCCCAGAAATTGTGTACTCCTCAAAGAGCCTACCAATTCTGAAGGACTCCCTAAAGAAAGGCCACATTTCTCAGCCAAAGCTAATGTGTCTGAAGAACTGGGTCGAGCAAATTTTTCTTGACCTTTGGAAAACTGAGCTCCCTTGATTTCACATTAATAAACTGGAGACTTCAGGAAACAAAGGTCAGCAGGGAGAGAGAGAAGGATCAAAAGCCAGTCCCCAGGAGAATTCCCCTGACTCTTCCTTCAGTGATGGAGTCCAGATGGAGAAGCTGCAGCTCTCTATGAAGAGTTGGTAGCTCTCTGCTGAGGACAAGTAACTCAGGACTGCTAAAAAGGAACAGGAAATGTCCCACTGCTTCTCAGGGCACATATTCCAATCTTGAAAGCTTTTTCCTGTTCTGGGATTAAATCTACACAGAGTAGATTTTTTAAAAATTGTGTGCATGTGCAGATTTATTCCTGAGCTGCTAAATCTTTAGAAAATCAGTGATTTGAAAGCATTTAGTCTGATAACTATCATGTGCAATTCTAATTAAAAATCTTATTTGAAGATCCAAAAATTCCACTTATTTTTTTTAAAGAGAGAGTGAGAGAGGAGAGAGAGAGAGAGAGAGAGAGAGAGAGAGAGAGAGAGAGAGAGAGAGA